ATCCCATTCCAGTGTTCGAATGACGTTCTCGAGTGTGGCAGTAAATAATTTTGGCGAGATGGTATCGCCTTGCCTAGCTCCTCTTTTGACGTCAATGTTAATATCGTCGCAGAATGGTGATACCTTGGTGGTGAAATTTTTGTTCACCTCACTAGGAATTTTTATGTACTGAGTAGGGGACTCCTTGACTATTGAGGGCTTCCCAGACTGCTTCCATCTCAACCGAATCAAACGCCCTCTGTAAATCGATGAAAGTGAGACAGAGAGGTCTTTTGTACTCTCGCGATACTTCAATGAGCCTTGTTACCGTGTGAGTGTGGCACATCGTATGAAATCCTTTTCGAAACCCTGCTTGCTCACATGGTCGTCTTTCGTATAGTGCCCTGTCAATCCTGTTTTGGATTACTCGAGTGAAAAGTTAGTAGAAGACAGACAGTAAGCAGATTGGGCGATAGTTGCCGATATTGCTTAGGTTACCCTTTTTGAAGAATAATACGGTCTTGCTTCCACTGAGTAGGGACCTTACATTCAGACAGGTAACCTGTGAAGAGCCGAGCCAGTGTGTTTACGAGGACTGGCGGAAGGTTCTTCAGGTGTTCTGGTCTTATCCTGTCCGGATCTGGTGCTGCTCGATTTTCCACCAAAGAAATGGCATGTCGGATTCCGGAAAGAAGAACCAGCAGTACAACACATCCATCCTCCTTTATTTCATATGACGGAAGGTGGACATGGCCATCGAAGAGATCTGAGTAATATTCGTAAATGATTTTCTCCATTGCCTTTCTGGACGCTGTAACTGTTTCGCCTGGGCGCCGGAGTGCAATCATTTTGGTCTTGTAATTGGCGAAGCTTAGGTTGGCTTTGTAAATGCTTTGTCCAATCTCTCCAGGTTCGACTATAGCTGCTGCTCTTCTCCCTTGAAGATCTTCTTTAATAGCCTGTTTGCGTTGTGTTTTATGTTTAGACGTCAAGTTGGCGCATTAGCTGGCGTGGTTCAGGAGGCAGGCGTCTCTTGACCACTTTCGAACTTCTCAGTTTTCGTAGCATTGAGGTGAAAATGTTGAATGAACCGATTGTATTTCTAATCGGTGTTATCAAGAATGGCATCTTCCCATTAGCCGACTAATGAATTGAATATGTCCCAGTTTGCGGTGGTTCTGGAACCTCGGTTTTGGAATCTAGCGGCTTTTTTCCTTTCCGCGAGAAATACAATCTTGCACGAAGGAGGTAATGGTCTGGGCCCGCATGGAAGTTCGGGACAACAGCGACATCGGTTAGGCAAAACCTTCTATTCACTATGATGTGGTCTATTTTGTTATGGTGCCTTCCATTGGAAGACTACCACGTGAAGCGCTGAGGGCGGGGCTTCTGGAATTGCGAGTTACCATGGATTGTCATGGTCGCCGTGATAAACTCAGACAGCCGCATATCCTATTCGCTCCATTCTAATCCGTTGGCCCCAATGTGACGTTTTTCAGACGTTCTTCTTGACCCACTCTCGGCGTTGAAATCTCCTGTGATGACTTTGAAGATTGTGTGGTCTACTCTGTAGAACTTCAACAAGCTCATATGGAAGGTTTCGACTTCTTCTTTGTCATAGTTTGATGTCGGAGCGTAAACCACGAAGATTTTCAAAGCCGGAATTGATTCACGTCTTCTTAATCGTAAACGTCTAATTCGGGTTGTAAGTTGTTCGAATTAATCGATGTTCACGAACAAGTTCGTGTTGACGAGAACTCCGACCCCGACGACTCTTCTCCTGTCGAATGTTCCGAGAAACAGTTCTTCTCAGGTGTCATGGACGGCGTTGAAAGGCTGGCGTCTTCTCGTTTCGGCCAGGCCGATGATGTCGTACTTTATCCTTCTTGCTTGCATGTGCCAGTGTTTTATCGAGAGCTCGGATGCAAGTGTACGTGCATTGTAGGTACAGATCGTCACCATAGTTCTTTGGAATCCAGGTAGCTTCCATTGGCGCTGAGATTTTAGCAGCCTCTACGTACTCGTTCAACCCAACGCTGGGAAATTGGAGGCTCTTTCGGGGTCAAGGAAATAAGGCTTATTTTTCTTACTGTGTTTAGCATTTTTCATACCCATGTATAGCTTGCTCAGGCTGTGAACGTGGGGCTGGGTATACTCACGGGTAGCTTGCCTGGCTCACCCAGAGTGGACGTGGGACATATTTATTGGAGGCGACTCCTAACCGCCTCCCATATACTTCCCAGTCACTTGGATGCAGGCTTTTGGCCGAATTGACTCCTAAAATACAATCCGAATAAGCAAGAACGCACCCACACACGCATGCATGAATACGCCTAGCAAATGCAGAAGGCACCACTTGGGATGCCGCCACGTAGCCTCGGGACTAACGTGAGAACTGGTCATAGCCATTGCTTTTCACTGAAACGATCATAGCAGTTTGGTTTTGGAATAGTAGACAAGTTCAGTGCATGAATTCCCTATAAGTTGTGCAGAAAAACTAAAGCGTGGTCTATTCATTGGTCACGATCTCCGTTGTGTACTTACCAGTCATTTGAATGCACCTTATGTCAAACCGATGTGCAGGATACTACCAACATAAACTTGGGCACCCCAGCGCACACATACGAGTGGCTATGTGTATAACGAGGGTATAACTCAATCAGGCAGAGCAGAGACAGTATCTCAATTAGGAAGAGCATACAGTCGTTTCTTTTAACGTCTGAGCTCACATGAACCGCCTAGGATCGAATTAAATCGAATTAATAAAAAAAACTGATGTGGATATGCTACAAGTTTCCTGCAGACCTACTTTTTAGGCAAATTAACCCCTTGTGATTTGTGAAATAAGTAGCGATAGTCTGTTACTCTGCACATTTGTATTCATCTCATTTTACTAGAAAGGATGCGCAGTAAATTATATCATCTCAATGTGTGGGCTTCGCTTTATTCAACTACTTTAAGTATAAATAGGAGGAGGTGAATAGAGAGAATGAAAGTAGCCACGGAGAGCCAGAGAGTGAGCGTGTTTTGTCGTAATAATCATATCGGGAAAACCAACGAAACACATTTCTCGTGCAGGTTGTTGAAACACACTGAAAGGAAGTTTTCGTTTTTCTTGAACCGTGGTCTCGTTTTGTCTTCATTGTTATTTTGGAAACGTTCTATCGAATTTCCGCGCATCTTCGTTTATAGAGAAAGAGATTAATTAACTGCAACATATGCACAGTCGATTAAATGGAAGCAAGAACAATAGAGAAAGAATAACACACAAGAAGAAATGTGAACGTCAAAACGGGTTGAAGCGGGCCTAGTAATACATTTTGCAACTCAAAACAATGACTGTTACCAATCACGGAATGACGAAATTCGCATTCAGAAACAAGGATAGAGCAACAATTTCCATCACTGCGGCAGAACGGAGGGCTCATGTCCAAGAATGTCTGATGTGACAGAATAGTTAAATTTCGCCTTGTTTATTAATCACAGTTTGATCAAAACCTTCTGCATTCTTGAGATTTCAACTCCAACATTCTCAAAACCTTTTCTTCAACGTTTTCAAAAAGTAAAATACAAGTGCACATCATCTGTTTGTGAACCAATGAAGCAGAAGATAAAATTTCCCAGAGGAAGAACCGTTTCCAAATCGTTCCACTAATTCCAGAAATTTCTTGTTGATAACCTCAAACTGGTGATTTGAGTTGTCAACGTAGTTAACTGCTTCACAAACAGCTAGGTCTCTCAGAATTACTGCAAATGATATTCGAAATCTCGTGCTCAGATTTCACTACGATCTAGTCGTGTAGTGTCAGCTCATCGTCAATCGCTGTATTGGCGACAATGAAATTCGATCCACAACATACGCTTTATACGTTACTCTCCAAACACACTGAGTTTAAATGTTGACAACTTCTGTTTGTCAACGTAGTACTTTTATGGGTCATCCAGATGAGCACCACTTTATTAGGCTTACTATCTAGAAATAAGCATACCTTAAACCATACACAGAAAACATAACTGCATCAAAATTCCGACCACAAAACTTTGCGTAGGAAAGCGAAATGTGATATTCCGCTAAGACTGCTTCCTTTGACTAAAATGTTCATTATTTTAACTTATTATTTACTGCCTACTCTTTTTAACGGCAGAGTATACATTGCGAAATATCACTTCAATGATGCTGAGATATTTGCAAAACTCCGGACCGCAGGTGTATGCGGTGGTGAACGAAGGCGTTATTGTCCTTTCCGGGGAGTAGCGCGACCCACCACCACACCACGCGGTTCCTTCGTTTCGCCAGCTAGTTCTGTCCATCTTTTGCGATTTGTAACCAGCTGAGAGACAGGCGAAACGAAGGACCCGCGTGGTGTGGTGGTGGTCGCGCTACTCCCCGGAAAGGACAATAGCGCGTTCGTTCCTCACCGCATACACCTGTGGTCCGGAGTTTTGCAAATATCTCAACATCATTGAAGATAAAATGTTTATTTTCCAAGTGTTATCTCGCCTTTCTTTCTTTCCTTGATATAAAGAAATTTTTTGGCATAACCCGCCATCAAATTTATTCCGCTGATTTTGGCACTTGCATCGAATTCGTTTTCCTCGCATTCATTGTCCATAAAGGCCTTCGAATATTTCGAGAGTTGTTAGGGCTACTGCTTGAAGATTTTGGCTTCTCAATGAATGTCGTACAATGCTGGTTGAGTTGACTCTTCGATTCTCCTTGCAATCTTGAAGACATCCAAATTAAGGATTCCTAGGTGGACTTGAGAAGAACGCAGAATAGCTGGTGAACCAGCACCTTGTTTCCTGATGGACCAAATTACTAACTGTTCCTCTACTGTCCGCTAATTCAAAAAAATTTCGATGAATAATAATTAAAAAACACATTACTGCAGCGTTCTATGATAAGAAAGTAACATTTGAACGCATATCTTATATATATATATATATATATATACATATATATATATATATACATATATATATAATCCTAACCCTTTTATTTACTGCCTTTTTTCTTTTTAATGGCAGGGTATGTTGCGAAATAGAACTCGTACATAATGCTGAGATATTTGCAGGACTCCGGACTGCAGGTGTATGCGGTGGGGAACGAACACGCGCTGTTGTCCTTACCGGGGAGCAGCGTACTTCACCACCACACCATCTGGGTCCTTCGTTTTGCCTGTCTCTCAGCTAGTTCTATCGATCTTTTTGCCATCAGCGGGATCTTGTTTATTTTATATACTATAGTACGCTGTTCCTTCCAGCGGTTTACCGCCTCATCGTGGCTGGGAGGTGTTCCTGGGTGTCGGGCTGCGATTTACAGCGGGGGATTCATCGCCGTGGTGGGATTTCCCAAGCTGAAAAGGAGTCCGGCGTTTCCATCAGGAAGCCTAGCTAAGAGCAAATCAATCGACCACCGTCATGGTATCCAAGTCGCATGATGGCAAATCTCCTTCTGATTCACAAGTATTGCGACTGCCTGTGGTGGTGAAGAGCTGGGGCAGACTTTGCCCAGGCTGACCACGGAATTCCAGAGAGCCATAATGGCTTAACCAGCAAATCTCCGAAAAATGGAGATTGTGCTGAGGCCCGCACAACCAGTCAGGACGAGCCATTCAATTATCAAGTATCAAGTATACTATGCTATTTTACTTATATTATCTTTATTACCTATTCTACCTAATATTCTGTTATTCTATCTATGCTATCTTTACAATTTATATATCCATACTTTTTCATATACTACTGTTATACACAGTTTGAATGGGATTCCAATCTTCATAGCAATTTTTGTAACACACTAATGAAAGAAGACGTTCACAAAGACTAAAGCATTCGATTTTCAGTCACTTTGCTAATCGTCTTGCTGAACGAGCAATTGATGAGCTGATAAGTCCATTCCGTCGAATAAACATTAAGGATGAAGAAGCTGCTCTCCTTAAGGCAATCATTATCGCTAATCCATGTAGGTTCTAGATTTATTGCATTAGTTTCCAAGTGGACATTTTTCGGAACCAAAATTGTATTTTTATAGTTTCAGTTCGACAAGAATCACCGAAAATATCGATTAGCCATTGATTTGAACTACCACTGTAAATCGATTCAATAAACACTTTGAAACATTAATTAAGCCATACCCATACCATATATTAGATACGTTTGTTTTGATACTAAACATGATGATGGATAAAAAAGTGGCTACGATGAGCTGATTTTTGTTGCCAGATTATACTGCGACTTAGATATCAAAGGACTCACGTCGGAGGCTGGCGAAGCCATTGCTGATTTGAGGGATAGAGTCCAGGAGACACTCTATCATGTCGTTCGTGAGATGCATCCGAAGGACATCGCATCATCACGCTTCGGAAATCTTTTACTCTTCATACCTAGCGTTATGGTGAGTTGACGTCCAATACCTCACCACTTCATACGAAACTCTTTTTTTTCTTTGAATCGATTGAGAATCTGTGGTAGAAGTTCCAAAAACTCTACTATTAGTTTTGATGCCCTAATATGTTCATTAATTATTTAAGTTTTGATCATTCAAGAATTTTATGCTCTTTCGTAATTCTGTAGGATTAGTGCCGTTAAGAAAGAATTCTAGTCCATTATGAATAGTCATCTGTGCAAACACAAATGCAAGTCAACTGTTATGTTCGGTTTAACTAACAACTACAAGTCTGGATCTACAATCTCGATCGTCTCGTACACGTACCATTCTCGATCTACAATCGACTACAACCTCGTTAGTCATTAAATCACTCTACAGCTCATCATTAAGGTCTTCATTCGCCCTGTTGTATGCCAAGGCTGCTCAATGTGTTCCACACAAGACACGAAATGCACCACTCTTTTCATTTAACGACATTTATGGAGTACCCAGTAGCTGGTCCAATTCTATGGTGGGGAATTGATGGGAACCCATGATCTGCCACGTTGTAGTTCGGCATCCAGGAAACATTCCCCTCGCCACACCTCACTCCGGCAACGAGAACCTGGCGAACTATCCGTTTGTTTGTGGTGTACCAAGTGATGACTTTGGGCAGGAAAATCGCTCCACACCATTCATCAATGAAAACAACTTTGACTGTGATCATGCAGTAAGTCGAATTTCAGTTTTTTTTTCTCTTCTAAGTACGAGTTTTTCATCCATTCGGTATTGGTTAAATCAATAGGAAATGTTAACCATCCAATCTTACGGAATATTATACACAAGAAGCTGATCACGGACTCCGAAATTCTTAGTTGAGAAGCTTATGAATGTTGATTTAACCCTGATATTCGTCCATAATGGCCCATAAATTGAAATCCAGAGCGTGCTAAGAAATTTGCCTATCATCAGATCCTATCATCAGTATGTGCACTTTCAACTGAGCTTCACCTTTATCCTACTACATTTCTGATGGAGCAGAATTATTTTTCATATTGAATGTATTCGCGCTGTTTTTCCAGTAATTTCGTGACTTCTTATACATGAATATTGCCAGATGTTGTTTAGAAACATCGTTAAAATTCCTGACTTTATTAGCAGTCCTTACTGTCCTTTGTAACAAAGTCGTTTGGTGTATGATGCTATAGGATTTGAGCTGTTTATCTTGGATATTTTATGAGAATCTATAACGGACTTCATAAGATATTAAGAAGTTTGCCAAATTTTTTGTTCGTGTTATCATCTCTGCAATCGCTTTTTTTTTGTTTAAATAGATTATAAACAGACACATCATGATAAAAGGCACATGTAGCGCAGTGGTAGGAGGTGCCTTGCAATACACATGGGATCGTTCATCGAACCCCAGTCTCACCAAGGGTTCCATCCCTCCGGGGTCGGCAAATTGGTACCAGACTTGTCTGGGAGGATAGCTGCACTGATTTGATATATCGGCAGGCTACTGGGAGTCATTGTATAGACCAGATGTGCGTTCAATCGCATCTAACGATGCTTAATGAAATCGAATATCTTTCTTATATCACAATAAATGGAAGAGGTCTAGCGGATTGAAAAACTTCCAAAAACGATTTCTATTGTTAGAAGTGAGAATACTGTAGCTATCTTGCTACCATTTCAGATGCTTGGCACGCTAGCCTTTGAAAATCTTCAAATTGTCGACTCGTTTGGTTACATGCAAGACCGTCTCATGCATGATGTTCTTCAAGAATATTCTGTCGACATGTCAGTTGTGCAGGTAATTAGATATTTCCTGTCCTAGCTCTAGTTCTTTGCAAACATCCGGAAAAGATGGATGATTGCACATCTTTCATTTTTTACTAACACATAACGCCCAACATGCATTGACTACAATGCATTTCGCTGTTTGATGAGCAATGTGAGAACGAGGACGCCAAATTTTTGCGAACTCATTGATTATGAACTTGCAAAATGTTAGAATCAATGTTGTTTCCCTTTGTTAACGACAATTGTACGAATCCAGCGTTATACCTGACTTATGAAATAATGAGAAATTTTTTATATTGTACCATGCGATACGTCAATTCCTCACCAAACTATTACACAATAAGAAGTCGTTTTAATGCTTAGAATTTTCCGATGTATGCTTTTGTCCAACAAATGCACTACTGTTACATTGTATAGCCGTCTTATTTGATTAGTTGCGTATCTATGAGTTACAGTAAAAACGTGACCCGTACAGAAAAACAACGAAAGCCTGACTGTATAGAAAACGCTCTGTATGCCGTTGATCAATACCGCTCTGCGTTCGACTCCATTAGGTATTGTTGAGACGACTTAGCCCATATATGGCCCATCCCATGACTACTGGAGACCCACTGTCATACCAAATCAGTGATGCTATCCTCCGGGATAAGTCTAGCACCAATATTCCGACTTCGCCGGGAAGTAGGACTTGGTCAACCCTTGGCACAAGATAACATCAACAATCCTGTGTCTGTGGGGCATGCGGGACGCCTCTAACCATGACGTTATACGCTCTCCTAGAACTTTTAAATATTCGCGAAACGCAACAATAATTAAGTCGGGAAGGCTCCAATCGACCAGTTGAACATCAGTATTTCAGGATGGTAGTAATGCTCAATCGCAATCAAGGAATCATACAGGCGAATCCGATATGCTACATTCAGCTTCGTCCACGTCAATGGAATCGTTATCCAGCTGTGGGTGCGCACATTCCTACAGTGTCAATGAGCAGAGCTTACCATACAAGTGAGATTAAGTTTCGTAAAAACTCAGTTCGATGACGACAGTGTGTGTGTGAACACCCAGTTGGAGGTTGCTTTTGAGTGTCGTGTAAATCATCACTTTTTATTGAGGAACATGGGTGCGGTTTTTTTGTAGTGGTCTAATAACTATAAAAATACTCTTAACCCTTTTATTTACTGCCTTTTTCTTTTTAATGGCAGAGTATGTTGCGAAATATAACTCGTGTATAATGCTGAGATATTTGCAAAACTCCGGATTGTGATTATAACTAAACCTCAGCTTAACTGGGTTCAATGCCGATTTGGGCTCCCCAGATCAATCCCGTTGACGGGTGATTGATGATGGCAAAAAACCGATAGAACTAGCTGAGAGACAGACAAAACGAAGGGCCCGGATGGTGTGGTGGTGAAGTGCGCTGCTCCCCGGTAAGGACAACAGCGCGTGTTCCTTCCCCACCTCATACACCTGCGGTCCGGAGTTTTGCAAATATCTCAGCATTATATACGAGTTATATTTCGCAAGATACCTTGTCATTAAAAAGAAAAAGGAAGTAAACAAAAGGGTTAAGGTTAATATTAATTTGCAATGACATGAGCGATATCTTTAAAAATTGCATTGCATTAGAAATGTACTTTTACAGTTGTAGTTTTATTTTAAGATTTCGTCTAAAAAAGTAAAGAGCACAATGTTATACCTTTTTTTTATTTTCTGCCTACTATAATTTCGCGGCAGGGTACTAAGCGAAATACAACCACAACGTTGCTGAGATATTTGCAAAACTTTGGACCGTAGGTGTCTATGGTGTGGTGGTGAACGCGTTACTCCCCGGTAAGGACAACAGCGCGTGTTCGTTCCCCACCTCATACACCTGCGGTCCAGAGCTTTGCAAATATCTCAGCAACGTTGTGAAAGTATAGAGCGAGAATTCCGAGAAATTAAATATAACGAAAGATCGACAGGGCTGTGTCTTCCGTAGGTTTTTCAAGTTGTGAGTTTCTCTGCTCAGTTGTCAGAGTCAATTTTGTGAGCTGGTAGCGGACTTAAACGCTGCTGTGGTCAGTGGTCATTTCACACCTTATAAGTTTCGTTTTAGTCGTTCGCTTTCCTATTTAGTTGAGGGCTATTAAGTATGTGCTTCAACCCAATTGGAATTGCTACTTATATGTTATGTTAAGCTATAAAAGGAGAGAGAAGTGAGATAGATATCGACGTTAATACTTATTAGTTAAATGAACTGGAATAAGGTGTCGTATTTCATGTGCTTCCATCTTTGTACTCGAACTTTCAAAGCTTACAGCTTCTCCAGCAATTCGTTACCATCAACTGTGAACAATTTCGAGGTGGCCATGAATAGCGCATCATCGATGCCAAATTTGGACCAAATGCCTGAATGCGATCCGGACTACAACGTAACACTCACTCCAGATATGTACTGTGGTGTGTCGTACTAATTTTTCCATTGCAAATGTTTTACTTCCACATGGTACTTTTACTAGGTTACTTTCTATAATTGAAAGAATTGAATGATTACTAGTGCTTTTAATAATTGAAAGAATTGAATGACCAGAGAGATGTACTACTTGTTTGGATGCTTGGATGGCCCGTCTTCACTGATTGTACGGGCTCCAGCATAATTTCCATTCTCCAGAAGTTTGCTGGTTTAACCATTGTGGTTCCCCGGAGTCCCGAGGGCAGCCTGGCCAAAGTCCGCCCCAGATCGTCACCACCATGGGCAGTCGCCGCCCTTGTGCATTAGAAGGAGATTTGCCACCATGCGACTAGTTCCATACCAGGACGGTGGTGGACCCTGGTACTGGTTTACTCTTAGCTGGGCTTGCTGATGGGAACACTGGTCCACAATATTCTAATATTGCAAAACCTTAATAGTACTACGAAGTAAACGAGGAACCACAGTAGTCCACATGCGACAATCAATCTCACAGTGTTGATCGCTATATTCTTGTAGCATACAGAAATTTATGCGATAATGGCGGAATCATTTCTTCAGTGAATGTATCCCTGACACCGGAATGCCGCAAGCACTCGGGCAGCTCAATGGTCGCAGGATTTGCTACACCGTTGCCGTAGTGGGAGAATCCTGATCGCAAAACTGTAAACTTCCCTCGGATATACAATACTGGGCGAATGTTTGTGGTGAAGATCTGGGAACAACTACAGAGTTCCGTAGCGTAACAATTTGGAGGAAATCACACCCAATCGCCATTCAATGTAACAATGCAAACGAATATTGAATTCTCAAGTCGCAACTAAAACCACTTGCGAATACAACGACTTCCGCATACAGCGATTGCAAGACGATGAAACGAATGACAGAAGCTGATCAAGTAGGAGTTTCATCTTTTGCAGATGCAGACAAGTCTGTTGTGAAATAGCTACGTAAGAATTTCTCAACTTACGACACTGTACTGTTCACACTACTGGATATACACTAAACACAGCAGAGATATGGTGAATATGTAATATTAGACTTCTCTTTAATAGCAGCAATACTTCCACGTTGCTCGAAAATATCCTAAATCGAACTCAATAATTATAAATAAACTAGGATCACGTTCTAGTTCCGCAAGGGATACTAAGACCTTGAAAGCAATGTGGTATTTAGACACTGAAAGGGCGATGCAAAAGTTGGACTCCACTCATTCTCAAGCAGAGCCATCCAGGAATCTCCAGCCCGTTTTCTCCTTACTTACTTGGATACTTGGACGGTCCGTCTTCACGAGTTGTGCAGACCCCAGCACATATGCCATTCGTTCTTTTCTGTCGCAATCGTAGTCCATGGTGGTTGTCTTGTTCGAGCATGGTAGCGCGTGCGAGTCTCATACCGTGATCTGTAAAACTGCAGCTGCAGGCGCAGCTGATTAACTTTGTTTACGAACACGTCCGCTCAACGTGTACGTGGTCGTCCAAGAGGACGTTTGCATTCTCTTGTAATCCACTCTACTGTTCTTTTCGTCCACCTGTCGTTTGCTCTTCTCATTATGTGACCGGACAGTCTCATGGGAAATTATCTCTCATGATACATGGGAGTCTCCTAACGGCATGATTCATGCGGAGATCGACCACATTCTGACAAACAGAAAATGGTGCTTACTTGACAAATCGGTAGTTCCGTCATTCTTTGCTGGTTCCAATCACCGCTTTTTTCCCGAGAAGATTCGATTCAGCCGAAAGCTGGAAAAGAACTCTCTTCATCGACCACGAGGGAAAGTTTAGCAGTATACGACCAGAACATTCTGAATGAAGTCCTATCCAAACTTGACTGGTAGATTAAAGAAGACTCGACCGAAGACTACGAGCTGCTTGTCAAAGAACTGAAAGGCTCTGCCGAATTCGCCTCAGTTCCTTAAGCAAGAAGATCGGGTCGCACCTCCACTACTACTAAGGCGTTGCTCGAACAGAGAAGAAAACTGAAGCTTGATCCTACTGCAACACGTTTAACACGGCTAACAATAAATGCCAGCTGCAGAAGAGTTTGCAGAAAGACCTACAACGGTACAAGTAGAAGAAACTATTGGAAGCAGCAGAGAAGAGAAGTAGTCTGAAAAAATGCCGTCGGGATTTGTGTGATTATTGTTCCGCTGTCAGCCTTGATGAACGAAGATGGGATTATCAAAGCTTCTCGCCATAGTATGGAATTAATAACGGAAACGTTTTACACCAACCTCTTTCGTTCCACAATCCCCGTCCTGGACCCTAATATCCCCGCTGGAGAAAAACCACCTGGAATGGAATTCTTCAGTCGGAGGTTCGAGTTCCGACTGAAAGCATGAAAAGGCGCACAGCTTTTCCACCGACCTCTTACCATACCCATAGGAAAAGGAGTTCGACAGGGCGACACAATATCGCCAAAGCTGTTCAGTGCCGCACTGTAATGGATAATGAAGTCGCTCGGTTAGGATGAGAAAGGCATACGTATTGATGGAATATTCCTTTCAAACCTTCGTTTTGCCGACGACATTGTCATCTTCTCAAGAAGTACTAGCGAAAAAGAGATAATGATTAACGAGCGCAACGAAGCGGGGAAAAAGATCGGACTGCGCATAAATCGGAAGAAGAGTCAGTTCGTGAAAACTCATGGGGCGATGGCGAAAAAATTGAATTAGATGGCTCTCTCATTGCAGAGAGCACCTGGTACGTATACCATGGGCGATCAAGCGACATGGAAAACAACATGAAGGAGGAACTTGATAGAAGGAGAGCAGCTTAGGCCGCATTCGGATCTCTCAAGGAAGTCACCGACCAACTGAAGGACCCGAAAATCCGCGCTCATCTGTTCGATTCTACGGTCCTTCCAGCGCTCTGTTGTGCTGCAGAGACGTGGGTTGATACTTCAACCACGTCAAGGAGAATATATATCGATAGCGAAACATAGACGGGTTTTTTTCGTTATAACACTAAAAACGATGGCATTGCTCATAAGAGACTGTTAGTTCTTCTAATAAATGTTGTGACCATAAATCGTTTCCAGTTCTGAACACAACCAGTCGAAGTAACTGACAAACATCCACAGTCATGTTGTACATGGTCGTACGTAGAACACTTGAACCCACTTGACGTCTACTTTACCATTCCCACCGTCTATCCGTCGTGCAATCTTCTCATCACATCACCGACTTAGCTGTTTCAAACGCACGTTGTGGCCTCGGTAATAAACCATCCAATTCGACCTGATTTCCACTGAAAAACAAATGTTCATAAAGTGATAAACGCAACCCAGAATTCCTATACCTCGTTCAGCTAGTTAAGTCTCGTACAAAGCTGCGCAAGTTATTTTCATGTGCTAAGTGTTTATCAGAAGCTTATAGTGATCGCTCAAAAAGCATCTTATGCGTTAATTTAGATGATCCTTTAGTCATCATTTTCGCAAGTGATGATCGTGTACCAGATTCCTTACTGGTCAATGATTCTTATTCCCGAAAATGATGCGTGTTTTATAACAATTGCTCCTAGAATTCTTATGTCATTGATGACTTGTTCCTTTCTTGTGCTACTGACGTTTTGGTTAAATTGAACTCTCGTATAAAAGAGATAGCAATTGAATCCAATACCAAAAAGATGACACTACGCTACTGTAAAGTAGACATGGTATTTTATGAAAATATAAAGAGGATTACGCCATTGAGTACTACGTACAGCAGCGATTTGTCTTCTAGAAAAATGGATTCCCATAGGATAGATGTGCCGTACCTGAACTGAAGTAAGACGGTTTTCATTCTGATTCGAAGTTTCGAGGTCTTCCTCACTACAAGCACCTAGACCAGATTTATGGAACAATTTATTTACAATGTTTAACGTTTTGTTTTCTGCCTTCTATAATGTTCATGGCAGGTTACTAAGCGAAATACAACCACAACGTATCTCTGCAACGTTGTGGTTGTATTTCGCTTAGTAACCTGCCATGAAAATTATAGAAGGCAGAAAACAAAACGTTAAACATTGTGATTTCAACTACAGCCATAGCTTAACTGGGTTCTATGCCGATTTGCGCTCCCCAGATCAACCCCGCTGACGTGATTGCTGTGGCAAAAAGATCGATAGAAATAGCTGAGAGACGTGCGAAACAAAGGACCTGCATGGTGTGGTGGTGAACGCGTTACTCCCCGGAAAGGATAATAGCGCGTTCGTTCCCCACCATAGACACCTGCGGTCCAGAGTTTTACAATTTATTTACTTCTACTGCCTTTTCCTGCTCTTAAATCTATTCCAAACCGGATTTATGAAAGGGTTTTCGTAGCTGAAAGCCCTATCTAACCAATCATGAAACACGTCCAATTCATTTACATCGAATATACATGCTGATAGGCAGCAAACGATGGTACGGATCTGCCTTTGATTTAGAGGATAAGGACAGAGGCCAGCACCAGAGACTACAGAACTCGTGCAAATCGATATATGAGGAAGTGGACGGGTGTAGAACAAAGTCCACGGCTTGGATAAAGAATGATCGACGTCAGAAGTGAATTCTCTGGCACTGTAAGTGCAGTGAAAGAGAAATTTCCTATTGTATCATAGAGGCGTTGTTCTGATCAGGCTTTGATAGCACCCAAGGCAGCCTCAAAGTCAGCCATAACAAAACTCCCAAGTCAGCTTTTCAAAAATATAGAACCGTAAGACAGGGATAACACATACTGGATATTACAAAGGATAAAGCTCTCGGCGTTGACCAATTCCTCAAGGATTGGTCAATGAATTCGACTTCATTAAGTAACGTTGGAGGTGATTGAATGCAAATCTGGCCTTTACAATAACTTGCGGTGGCTTATCAAAGTATCGAGTCAGTGCTGCTATCCTCCCAGACAAATCTGATACCAATTTGCCAACCCCAGAGGGATGGAAAGCTTGGTGGGCCATGAGATCGGGGATCGATTCCACGTGTGTGTAGCAAGGCGCCCCCAACCATTGGATATTATAGATACTCCCAACTGGATAT